GATGGAAGTGCATAGACTACAATAAGAAATTATTTAAGTTATATGATGTATTAAGTTTTAATGTTCTGTTATTTTGTGTGTGTGTGTGTGTGTAAAATTCAACTATAATTTTTCCCTGTTATCTTTTTGGCCAGGAGCATTGCCTAGCAGTTATGTGCTGCATGAATATGAAGTAGATGAGAGAATTTCCAAATTTTGTCTGACTGCTTATTAATTTATGAAAAAATATAAACTGTTCTGATAACTCAAGTTCTCTTGTTAATGTATAAGTATGTACAAGTTTCTGCTTTTCACTACAATTATGTGGTGTGAGAAAACCACATTACTTTTAAAAACTTTGCTTTTTGAGCTCAGTATTTCTAAAATATATTTTTCCATATATATGAAGGAATAAAGGTTTTTAATTTAGTGCATTTTTATATTTTAAAATACATTTTCACAAAGAAAATAGCATTTACAATCTGCATTTGAACAGATTATAAATGGCTGTAAAACCAGTGAAGTGTAGTGTTACAAAAAAGTTTTAAACTTTTATATTATAACAGTAGAAGGTATAATTAGTGTCAGTAATGTGCAGAGTACATTGAAAGTGCAGGGGCTCATTGACATAAAGGGGCACTTTTCAAGCACTTTTATGGGAGTGGAGGTTAGAGAAGAAACTGTGTGGACTGTCTCTTGTACACATAGGGTGAAAAGCCATAAGAAACAAACAGATCCTCTTTGGTTCTTTTCATCTGGTCTTATAAACACTTTCAAAATCAAAAACTAGACAATGAATTATTGCATTTAATAGCCTATCACAATTATTTCTTTAGTGTAAAGACCTGCAAGTCCTGCATATTAAAGCTGAAATCCTTTTTGTTCCCTAATAACTCGCAGCAAGCAAGGTGTGAAATCTTTTTAGTAGTTGTTGAAAATTTTTTATAGCTGAGAAAAAAGGTACTTTTGGAGCATAAGGATAGAAAAGCAGGGGCTAGGATTCACCCGGCCACTCCCACATCTGGATGGAGAAATGAAGAACTAAGTGAATTTCTACTGAGTCATAAAATCCAAATTTCTAGAACTAAAACAAAAATTGTACAAAATGCTCAATAACATTTAAGCCATAATCATCACTTAACTCTTAAACAACCCTTTACGAAGGTTTGAATATCTTTCTTCAAGGTTTACTATGCAGGATGACAGAAACTGTATCTGGTTAAGTACTGCTGATTCATGGGCATGTAAATAACTTTCACCAGAAGTGATGCTACAGCAATTTATTAAAGGTCAATTATGCCTCATGTTTTGTATTTGCTCATCAACATAAAATCTGACTGAATTTGATTTTGAAAGTGTATGTAATTTCATAACTTCACATTAGAACATGATTTTGGAAATAAACCCAAAAAAATAGAGGAAATACAATAAAAAAAATTCCTACAGTGTCTTTCAAAGTTAGAATTTGGTTAGTAAAGTTGTAGTAACAAAAAAAAAAAAAAAAAAAAGAAAGAACCTCTATAATTTATTTGACCTTTTATTAAAAACATGTTAATAAGTGTATTCAGTAATTCTGAGAATAAAAAACTACAACTGTATTTTGGATGTTTACACTGATAAATATAACACTCAATAAATAAAGATATAACCCTTTAAACTAGGGACGTACGGGTAGTAAAATTTGGCTGAATACTGGCCCGGGTACCTAGCCACTAAGCTTCGGCCAGGTTCTCCCCTTGCCCCCCTTCCCCAAAATAAACAACATACACAAAAATTAGAAACAAAAACAAAATTGGTGTTTATTACATATAACTAAATAATCACCAATAGAATATTCCAATTTTACTTTCAACTTTCAAAATTAACTGACAAAAATGTGCACACCAGTTTGCAGAATGCCTGTGTTTTTGGAATTTGTTTGAGTTTTACTTGAGGAACAGTAGCATTTCGGCATTTGCGGGTAAATGGCTTGACCTTTCGTATGTGATAATGTTACCAGCGGTGCTAAAAGCCCGTTCGCTGTCTACACTGGTTGGAGGCGCGGAGAGTAACACCTTGCTATCCTGGCCATTGTGGGAAATCGAGCTTCATTTGACTTCCAAAAGTAAGGCTAGTGAAAGTAAGTGCAGAAACAATGATGTTGACACGTTTTAGAATCATTATTTCAATTAATGCCTAGCTCCAACTTCTCAAACCCTAACCCCTATTGTTCTCAAATCCCCCACCTTCCCCAGAAATCCACCTCTCAAGCCATGCCTGTTATTAACCTCTATTGTTCTCTGAATCCCCAACTTTCAGCAAGCGTTCAGTTTTTGTTGCTCGGAACACGTTTTTTAACTAAACCAATTATTGACTGTAACTTTCAGTACCTTGTAAGTTGGCACAAAGATTAAGGGTTAGATGCCATTTTCAATTACCCAGATTCGGCTGTTTTTAACTTCAGATATTACAGGGTAGCCCAATAACCAGCCGGGTATCCGTGCATCCTAACATTAAACAGATTCTTATGTTTTAACTTAGTGTTAAGAATATCAGAGGAACAAAAATGATAACTTCTTAAGTTATAATTTCCTTAAGTATAGTTTTAAAGTTAATATGTTAGGTGCTGTTAAAGACTGAATATATAATGTGTATGTATATATATATATACACATATATTTAAAAGATTAACTACTGCATTAAGTTTGGCCAAAGAAAAGAGAATTTAACTTTTTAGTTAATAAGATTTTTTTTCCAATGTTTAACAGTACACTATTCTTCATGTAATATCTGTTAAACCTCAGACTATTATTTTGTTATTCATACTGTACTGAATTGTTCTTGATAGTTTAGTCATGTTTAATGTTCTACATTTACTAAGATGTTTGATGTGCTGTGTGTTTGTCAATTTCTTTCCATTTGTGACTATTTATTAATTATTATTGTGAAAAAGACTTGGAAATTTATCTCTTTATTTCAGTAAAATACTGAAGAGGAAAACCAGTATTACAGTTTGTTTCTTTCATGATCCCTTGTGTCTTGCATAATTTATTAACACAAATTGTATATTTCTATGTGGAGTGAAAGTCATTAAACATTTTAAATGAATATTGTTATTGTTCAAGTTGTTTATAAATTTAGGTTAAAATCTTCACCTGAAATCTATGGATTTTTTATAGATCAAAGAAAAAACTGCATACATAATGAATGGCAAAAAAAAAGACTTCTACAATAACTATTACATAAAATTTTATCTGAAACTGAAACATCCTACACCTTAAAAACTGCTTATTTTCCTATGTAGGAATATGTATTAGGATTTTATTAGCACGTGTAGTAATATAATGCTTTAGACCCACAGATCAGTGTTTATGTACATACATATTTATTAGCATTTCTTTTTATTAAGTGTTTCATAATTTGACAAAGTACTTCAGAGAGCAACTGTCGCCAAATTTACCAGTTTTGATGATCAGATGTGACCATTTGGTTTAAATTAATGTTTGTTTGAAGTCATAAGGATAATTATATTTTACGAACCCATGCATCAAACTTTTAGCATGTTAAATGATTATATTTTTACACCTAAAGCTTGAGTCTTTACTTTATGGGGTATCCTAATGTCACTATGCTGGACAGCATGTGAAGTAAAGTAGCCAAATTCTCCCAGAAAAAACAAAACAACAATTTGACCTGGAGACAAAGATGGAAGGCTTTCAAAATTTCATTCTTTCTACCTCAGCCACTTTTGTAGATTAGTCATTGAAGACTTTCTCATTCTGAAGTAGGCAGTTGCTACCCATTTCACCTAAGTCATCTATAAAAGAATAACTAAATGACTATAAAATACTAAGGTAATAAAATCATTGACTCTTTCAGAAATACCATTTTTGATCTCACAGGAATGTGTCTTTATTTTCCTTCATCTACAGTCAAGAGAATATATACATATAGTTCCAATGTTTTCCAAACATAGAGATACATCAATGACTATGAATCAGTTTACCATTACACCTGGACGTTACATAAAATTAATTTCTAAACAGGATTATAATAATCTAAACAATGAACACTGCAAAATACAATGACAAATTATTTAACAATGCTAATGACACAATTTTTTCTACATCAGTAACACTGTTATGCAAAACTTCAACAATTATTTTAATCTCTTTGGGATTCCTGATACTGTACTGAATGGATATTACTATACATTGATATAATTATAAGTTACATGTGTGTAAATATTTATATACACAAATGTTAAACACGATCTACTTTGTAATTTTCAAATACTATTATAAACATCAAACAATATGAATGCAAACATTAGCTTAAGTGTCCGGATTTGATGTTGTGGAATGTATCCAAACAGAAAAGATGAGCTCTTTCTGTTGATAATACCAATGTTTCTTTTAAATAAACAATTTTTTTTTCACAGAAGATATTGCTACTTCCACTTCAAAAGGTTAAAGATTTTACATTAAACAACTACTTTAATATACTAGATATTTTCCTTTTAAAAGTTTTATTTAACAATATTGATTTTGAAGATTCAAATTTTTTTCTGTATAATTTGAAATTTCATTAAAGAAAATACTACCAGGATAAACTTCTGACAAAAAAATATCTAACGATTATATTTTGGTGATTTTTTCTTCTTCTAGCATTTTGTAAGATTTGCAAATATTTTACTATGTCCAAAATGAAACATTTACATTTTACAGGCAGGTAGGCCTTAGGATCTACACTGAACGAATAGAGAAAATTAACATCTGCAGTCAAGTGAGACATCTATATGAAATGCTCCTGAGTAACCTGTAAGCCATTCAAACTTATAATGAATTTTGTACTAACATAAAAAGACTAAAAGATAAAGCTATTAATCACGATGATACACATACACACATTAAATATTTTGTATACATTTGTTTTTCATGGGTACGTGTCTTTCTGTTTTAAATTTGGTATATCTGAAAACAGAGATACAGGCAAAAGCTTCTCTTTTACTTCACTTAATGAAGAGATTATTCCATCAAAGATCCTAAGAAAAGCTGATGAATGTTTTTGCAAGAATTAGACATACTTCTAAACAAGAATATATTTCAAGTACTTTAGAACTTCAATTTTAATAATTAAAGCAGTGTTTGCACTCTAACTTTTAAGAATTACTTAAAATAGTTTTGATCTGATTGATATAGATAACAAAATTCAATCACCCTATACAAAATATTTTTCACAAATAATTAACTTTTGACACAAAAAAGGTTTTCAAAGCAGAAAAGTCTGAATCAGGTTAATAATCATTAACACACACAACTTCAGCAGACAGTATTACAAGTTCTAAAGTATTAATTATCTGTTACATGATTAAGATAGTTAACAATTCACTAACTGAATAATTTCTGTATAGTTTTAACTGACAAAAAACAACAACATGAATCAAACAATGAAATTGTTATTATAAACCCATACGAGCACTTTGTTTTATTCTTTATCAAACCAGTTGAAAATGAAGTTAATCTCCGATTTAAAATTTCAACTGAAACAAAACCAATGGATAAGTTTAAGATTTTTCTTTTGAGGAAACTTCTATAATTGTCTAATATTTTGCTGACCTCTGAGATTGCATCAAGCCTAAAAAAAAAAGACTTTAACCAAAAAATTCCATCATTTTATATTGAAGTGTAAAGGATTTCTGCCATCATTCTGAAAGAACCAGAATGTCTGTGTAGGTATATATTATAATATTATTCAGTTAGATAAAAGTAACATGAGCCCAAATATTCCTTAAATTACAAACAAACATCTCACTGTTTCAACTTATGAAGTCTGTTTCAAAGACATGCTAACAACAGAAATATAAACTTCAAGGGTTTTTGCTTTAAGTTTTTTAAAAGATTTATTACACAAGTATTCTACAACAGAATCTCAGCTGAAAACATGTATTTTGCATAATAAAAAATTGAAGATTTTTCAACATTACTTTCCTAAACAGTTCCAAATTTTTAAAGAGGTAATAATACGTTTTGACACATTTTAAGCCATCTATGTTTCTTCACACTAGTAATGATTCTGTGATTATATTTTTTTTCTTAGGAAACCTGTTCACTACACAGAGAATGATCAGTCATTACATTAAATTATCAGATACATACACACTCCTTTTGACAAGATTTATAATGTTTAATCATCTAGTGTCAAATACTATTTTTTCATTATGTAATTCTCAGGAACCAGTAAAACTAAATATAATATCCAGTTTCACAACCAACCTACTAGAATCTGTTTGATAGAAAAGAAAAACATTTGTATCTAATTTTAAACAGGCCACAAGCAGAGAAAAAACAAAATTATATCAAATAAATGTACAATCACTAATCAAAACAAATCAATTTTGCTTTAGGATACCACAGGACCACTGATGCTAGTTTCACGATCCTGGCTCTTTATCCTAAATGAAAATTTCTGTGAAGAGTAGGTTTTATATCACATATTAATTCTAGAAGTTGGTTTATTACAGCTTCTTTGTTTGCTGCTACTGAATGATTCATAGCCTCCACTTTCATACGTGTGTCTATATCAATCTTGGCAGCTATATCATCTCTTGAACCCATGTGCTGTGGAAAAAATACATACCTGATCTCAGTGTATATAAAATGAACAAATGTCTATAAACATAAGTTTGGTAAAAATTTTAAACTCTTACAACAACACAATAAACCACACTACAACATGATACTGATGCTGCATAGCTCCAGAAACACACATGAAAGAAATAGTAATTTTTATCTCACAGCAAATATCTATTACAGCTGGGTGAATTACTATTTAAGTATAAGAACATTAATATAATTTTTGAAAGTGGTCATAAAGATCTTGTTAAGGGGTTTCATTGAAAATGAAAGAATAGCGTAAAAATATACATTAAACACGAAACTTAAGATTACAGAACCATTTTTCTACTCATCTTCACATGGCAAAACCCATCCAAACTGAATGACACTAGTCACTGACATGCACAACAGTTTTCAATATCAAATAGTTGAACCAGAATGGTGAGTTGCCATTGTTCATATTTGATGTCATAATTCGCTTAGCTGAAGTTTCTGTATTACTCAAAGAAGGTACACGTGGTTTGATTTACTGTTAAGTTCTCAATACCATAAATACTGTGTTTTCCCTGTTTCAGAACATCAATTATTATTGCTTCCATACCTCTTAAAAACGTGTAGAATGGGAAAAAATAGACAAATCACAATTCTAAAACTTGATAACCTGTATTTATTATTAAAAGTTTTCAGATGGCAGGACAAATTTTCTTTGCAACTTCAAATTATCTTAATAAACAGTTCTGATATACTTAGATAGTAATTGAAATAATATCATAGAAAGGGTAAAGGAAAAAGTTATAAAAAGCAAGTACTATAGAAATACCACTTTTATCATGTGAAAATGAACTGCACCAGAATATAGTCACATGTTGATATCTGACACTGTGGTTACTTGTCATCCAACCAATCAGAATGCCTTACAGCAGCATGATGCCTATAAAAGTACAGGCAATCATATTACTCCCAGCAACAGTAAGGTGAATACACACATGACTCCCATAACAAAAATGCCACAAACATTTAGAGATCAAAAGTTTTGGCTGATAGACTGAGACAAAATTTCATGTTTCAATACTAACTATATTGGTACTTTAAAGATGATGCATGAAGCTAGAGCTGCTGATAATAGAAATGGTTGAGGTAGAAAATCTAGGCTCTATAAAAGGTTAAGTATCTCCAAGTTTGTTCTTTATAAGGTAGATGATTGGTTTAGTACAGATCTTGCCGATGACTTTGCTGTAAATACAGGTATTAGTATTACCACGAGAACACTGAGATATACGTTAGCACAAAGTGGCCTCAATGGATGTGTATCTGTTGGAAAGCTTCTAAGAAGAAGTAACCAAGCCAAAAGATTAAAGTGAGCATCAGACCATAAATAGTGGAATGAACAAAGATGGAGGTATATGCTCTTTGCAGATGAATCCAAGTTCGAACTGTTTGGAAACAATCAATTACACAGACTGAGTAGTGGAAATGGGATTATATCTAGTATAAAATATCTACAATGGAGCATGGTGGGGATCAGTACAAGTTTGAGGCTGCATCTCATCCAGTGGTGTACAGGCAGATTCTTATCCATAGTGTTATTCCCTCATGAATATTGAAATGATATCTTGCTGGTAAACAGGTTGATGCAACATTACCAACCATGGCTTGGACTGCTCAAAGTTCTGATCTAAACTTTATTGGGGCTATATGGGCTTAAAAGATGACCAATGAACTTAGCTGGTTTGTGGTGAGTAATAAGGACACATGGAACAATATTCCTCAGTCTTGCATGATAAACTGTATGGCAGCATGAAAATAAAGCTCAATACCCTGTGAAAAGCAAAGGGTTTACATAATAATATTAATGCACTGTACACTTACTCGCTTTTCTTTTGTATTTTTTCTCATAATGTTTTGTAACAAATAATAAATTCACCATATAATTGCCATTACTCGTTATGTGTTTTCTCAATTATTTGCATTACTGTATACCATCATAATTTTTTCAAATTTTCTGCCCATTTTTGCTTACTAGCAAGTGCATTGCTGATATGATGCATTGTTCGAGTAAATATTAAGATTTGTCAGTTATTTATTTGATGCTACCTTTATTCATCCTACTTACTGGACATTCATATATGAACTAAATCTCAAGATTAAATTATTTTGATGTTTCCCAGTCCTCATGTATATATTTCTACCTTTTACCTGCACAAATCTACTTGGTTGCATACATAGGTGATTGATTTCTGTTTCTACTTGAATGGATGACTTGTACTAGACATGACTGAAATCCTAATACCAGTTTAACAAGCAACATATTTGGACTCTGCTGATCAGACAAAGTGGATTCTACTGATAATGTAAATCCAACCAAAGACCTTCTCTGTAATTTTTATGGACTTTGACAGGCCTATGGAAAATATCTCGGGACACCTTGCTTCTTCGCTTGGGGACTTAATTTCATTTTTTGTTAAGTTCAGTTCAACTTTCAGTTTTCCTGTCATTCATTCTGATGATGACAAAACCTTGTCGAAACGTTGTACATTTGCTGTTATGTTAAACTTATATTAAAGTTTTTCTTCATTACCCATTCAAGCCGTCTCCAGCCATTATTAGTCTCAAAGTGGGTTCCTCGTCATCGAAAAAGACAATGTGCAATTAGAAATAAGTCATAAACAACAATAGCTTCATTTATATGTAAGTAATGTCTGAAACAGTTACAATATGGCCCTTACAGAATTCAAATTACTTTATTATTCAAACCATACTGTATTTATTCGTCCATGTTAAAGGTCTCATTGTTTATTTTCGTGCAAAGCTATTGAAGGGTTATCTGTGATAACTGTCCCTTAATTTTGAAGTGATAGACTAGAGGAAAGCAGCTAGTCAACACCACCAACCACAAACTCTTGGGTTATTCTGTATGAACATTATAGCACCCCAACAGCTAAAATGGCGAGCATGTTTGACAATGAATATCAATACCACAGACCTAACCACCACACCATGACAGGTCTAAAGATCTCCTTCTTCCTTTACTGTATACCATAACTCACTCTGGCTGCCCTACCAAATGTTCAGACAATAAAATCTTTGGGTGTAAGTATGCTCAGCTTAACATAACAAATAAAGAACTACATTCATAGAAATTTGGGTTGAATATTCTATTAACAAATTTAAGTTTAACCTTCTACGGATTCTAGATTCTCTTTTATAAAATTGAAATTTCAAAAAACATTTAATGTTGTTGTAGGATTTTTTCATTCACTATGTAGTATCATTTCATCATTTCTTCATTAGCTTTTACAGCTCATATATAAAAGATGAAAAAGGCCTATTTTTTAATGTTACTGTTTTTTCATATTTGATCCAAAAAAAGTCTCATAGATTTTGCTTTTTTTTAAATGATTTATTTAGTAAATTCTTCCCATGCATATGAAAATGTTGATGTTGGTGCTTTTTGTCTATGATTAGAGTCATTAAATAGTGAAAAAGCATTATGTATCAAATATATAAACTACTAGATGTACTTCTGCAGGTTCCTTGAAAGTGATCTGTTTTAAGAGTAAATAAAACCCAAATTAAGAGTAACAAATATTTTTATTTCTTGCTGTTTAAGTTCATATATCATACTGTGTTGTGGCCCACAGAGTGCATAATTCTTCTCATCATTCATGTCATGTGCACATTTTACTGACGTCATGACAGTACAAATTGCAATGTTAAGCATCCCTTATGTGACGTCATTTTAGCGTATACTGAATGACTTACAGACAATACACTACTGTATAGTAGCATGAGTGGTTAAAACAGGTGACCCCTCCAGGCAGCCTTCGGCCCCCTTTCAGGGAAATTTCTTGGTTGAATACAAGGGATTCTGAGTTATGTTTAAATGTTTGACCACTGTGAAAAATCAAAATTTCAGAGGAAAAGTAAATCAGTGATTATTACAAATTAGAATAGTTCTTAAGAAATTTGACATTTCTGTGCAATGGTAGTTATTTGTAGTGTGCTCATACTTGATTCCGTATTATCACATAAGCTAATTTTCACCTATATTTTGCACTGGCTGTGCAACTTGAGTTTCAAATGAATTACAAGAAATTATAATGTGAGTAACACTATTCATTACCTTTTTGCATCAATCCTCTGGACCAATGGTGCTAGTGGATGCTAGATGGCGAGTATACAATTGTACAGTGCAGGAGTATACATGTCTCTGGAGGCAATATTACATTTCCTTTTGGCTTCTGTTCTTTTTACTTCATTATAAAATGCCCCTGTTTTCAACATAGCATTGATAAATTTCAATGTTAAACTTTTGTAATGGTACTATCACTTTCTAGATAATAAAGTGTAAAATTAATTTTTGTGGTAGGACAACATTAATACTAAGTAGTGCCATCTAGTGATTAAATTTGGATCTTAAAAGAGATACAACTCCTTTTATTATCCACTTTGGAAGTCCAATCAAAAGACCAGGAATACTAATGGCTTGAATCCTCAAAAGGTGGAACACTGTTCCAGAATGTTCTGTCTCAATTTAACCCCTGATCCCATCTACATAATTATATAGTTTCTTTTTCACACTCCATCTGATTCAACTAGCTATATGTCAAGTTAAATAAATGTTTATGTAAATTCTGCCTGACTGATTTTTCTATTAGAGACTCTGGTTTATTGTTACTGGAACTGATGTAGTTTAAGGATGCTTACCAAAATTTTATACCAGTAATAATTTAAAAAACACCAAACCTATACAAACGTTTCTTTTGAAATAACTCCAAACTATCAGAGTTTGTGATTATCAAAATTACATAGCTGTAGAACAACAGCCATAATTTGTCTTGTAAACATTATCATCATAAAGTCCATTCATTTTTTGAATCTTCTACACTTAATTAAATAATTATTAAACAGGATTTATGACATCAAGTATATATTTTTATAAAATCCATTAAAAAAAGATTGCTATTAAGATTTTACTTCACAAGTTTTTGTATATTTTGTTA